GGATCCCTCCCATGCTGTTCTTCGGTTATGCCGATACCCTGAGCAGCACGCTCGACTTCCCTACCCTCTGGCGCACCTCCGTCATCACCGGCCGCGAGATGATCAACAACTTGCTTAAGGGCAAGTTCTAAGCATTGTTGCTTTACGAACTGTCCCCTTCACGAAGGGTATTTGGAATACGAGAATTTTGGAAAGCATGGGATAGAATATAGAGTAGAGATAGGGCTTCTCGGCACAAGCGGCGTCTACGCTGGACCGGAGTTTGGGTTAGATCAAGATTTATCTATACCTATATTCACAACTTTCGTGACATCGTCAAAATATGGCTCCAAAGATACCCTCTACTGGGAATGTTCATCGCCTCTGTTAGTACATTCGTTGGTGAGCCGTTGCTTTGCCATCAGTCCATCATCATATACTTTCGTAGGGAAGGCTCGGGTTGCTTTCATTATATCTGTGTTCCGGTTTAGTATAGCTGAGCCGTTCGCTAACCGAGACTTCTGAATTGATGCTTTATTTTCTCTTCTCCCTTCTCTTCTCCCTTCTCTTCTCTCTTCACTTCTCTCTTCACTTCTCTCTTCACTTCTCTCTTCACTTCTCTCTTCACTTCTCTCTTCACTTCTCTCTTCACTTCTCTCTTCACTTCTCTCTTCACTTCTCTCCTCACTTCTCTCCTCACTTCTCTCCTCACTTCTAAAGTGCTCATGTCCGTGCCCCTGTTGTCTACGTATCTATACATTACTGGGTAACCCCTGAACCACCGTCGCGCAAACATCACGATACCTGACACCCATGTGTACACTCCCTCGGCGTTCCTCAGCACGTCTATCTCCTGCTCTACACTTCATGCCACCAAGTAGTCTATACCCCCTTCTCACGATGGCAGCTGGTCATACCTCGGTTCACTGTATTCCTCATTTTATTTCGGCCAAAGTAGCCAGTCCATCACCACGCCATTGCGCCGGGAGACGGGACGACAGACGACTCTTATTTTATCTAATCTTTTTTTTTTCTTTCTGGAATAGCTTACAAGCACTGAGGGTTACGTTTTCCATGGACAATGCCGTTAAAGTCGGGCATGTTGCCACTGCCATCTCTTCTTCTCCTGAAGGGAGGTATGCTACTTGAATAAAGCAAAATGGGTGATTTAGTGTGACCATAACACCCCATCAACTTGAGTGGGTGATTTTAGTATTGGTTGGTTCGTGAACGAGACAGAGGTAGTTCAAAGAAACAAATACTGGAAATCCCGAAATGATATATCGGAATACTTGACAGCAGTACTCGTGCCCATTTGCTATGATGCTATCATGATGGAGTGTTGTTGCTGGACAAGAGAGATGTAGTTACGCTCGTCAGTCTGGGTCTCTGTTGATAACCAGACTGTGTTTAGTGTTGGACAGAGGTTGAACACAGCTTTGAGACCAGCTTAGAGTCTTCCAAACCTTCAACATGGCTTTCATGAGACGTTCAGGAATATAAAATTGCGAAAATACTATTCAGCGCCTGGCGTTGTCTTCGCCATGTCGTCACTGTAGATTGTACTTCGTTCGGCTTAGTACTACCGAGTTGTCGTAGTTTGACTATGGAGACTCAGGATCAGCACTCGGCCACAGTTCATCTCATCTTAATTTGAAGACGTCATGGATGGCACATAAAATTTCCTCATGACCAAAAGTTGCATATGACTGTGCGTAAAGCCGTCAGGCCTTAGTCTCAAGTTTTGAGATTACGAACAGCGAGATAGAGAGAGGCCTTTGGCGAGGAGTGCTATCTCGACCGGGCGGCAGGCAGTTTGTCAATTATTTCCTGGGTAGCGGTACCGGCCAACAAGGCTGATCGACATTGTCAACAGGAAACCCAGACCCATCTGCGTCCCCGCCTGTCATCGCCATTTTCCTCATCATCGGTTTCTCGTAATGGTGGTTTTCAACTTCGATATCGTGCGGTTGCCTTTGGAGTTTTAGACCCCTCATCCGAAGTAGAGCATGCAGCGAGCGAGATGCAACATGTTATTTTAATCATCACCTTTGCATGATCAGGACTTCATTTTTTTCACGCATGACGGCCTCTCTGGGATAACAGGTTTCCCCTTTGGAGGCGTTTTCCTCCCTCATCCGAAGTAGATGAAGTGGATGAAGCCCCCGTGGGCCCATACTTCCGTTCGCACTGGTGCTGACCGGCCTGGCACTTCCAGGGGTGGACGGGTAAGATTTCTCCTGACCGGGACACCGAACTCACCTCCGCTCCACGAACTCGTACTCCCAGACTGCCCAAGGCCACAAGGCCACCTTGCATTGCAGGTAGGACGTATGGTGTGAAAATTTTCACATCAGAACAAATTTTCCAACGGGCCGCGTGACACTGCTCGAGCGAACAACTAGGCCGGATTTATGGTTCTAGAAGTCATACAGTGGAACCCGGCAGTGGAGCGAGGTCCAATGTCGCCATGTTCCTGTGCTTTCGTGCCGCATTAGGGTGCGCTGCTGCTAATGGAAACGCCAGCGGGATGGGTTGACGCCGGCATGGTGCCGCCGCCGCTGCTTGTTTCTTCTTCTTGACCGCCACGGCAACCAAACAGAACTCCTTTCCTTCTTTCCCCGCTCTTTTGACCCGCCAGCAGGAGCGCCAGTGGGACAGAAATTGCGGGGAAGAAACGGGACCTGTCAAGCTTCCTGTTTCGTAGGCTCGTAGGGCACTGCGATGCGCTGAAAAAGGCTCCCCCCGAGGTGCGTTACGGCTATGGGCTTCGCCGCTTCACGTGCCAGTGTTGCTGTCGGTCGGCAAGGCTCCGGTAGTGTCAAAATATCGTCGTGTTGTATGGTTTCAGCGAAGAGCCAAACAGAATCCGGGGGCAAGGTTCTTGACAATTTTCTGGACACAAATAAAAAAAGGTCAGCCGAGAACTTTGGTTCCTTGCATAGGCGACATCCGCGGAAATGGTGTTCGCACGGGGAACGAGGCAGCGAAATCGGGAGCCAATGCCGATCCAACGTTGCCAATGTCGACGGTTGTGGACGACAAGGACGCCTGTGGGAGGGTAACTCAAGTGCCATGGGACTGCTCCGAAAGGGTGTTAGTGAGCCGGTTTGTACGTAAGAGAAAAGAGGGATCCGCCGCCCGCTTGAGACCAACCAGGCATCCAGCTCTACACACGTACCAGCGTTTTTTCTGCGAGCCTTTTTGATGAGCCTCCTGGAGGAATCCATCCGTGGACGACGACCCTCCGAGAAGGTGGTATCAGTGTGTTATACAGAGAGGCCGGTAGATATTGAACCACCCTCCATTGCGTCAGTCAACGGCAGAGAATATTCCAGATAGATGACAGGTCGTATTGGAACGGACTCCATGCCATAATGCTATGCGCAATGACGGGAGGTATCGCCAAAGAGTCGAGGCTTCAGATGTAAACTGCGGTTTGAGGATCGCTGAGCAATCTCGCCAGACGTCTTCCGCACGGGCAGCTGGGCGGCAAGAGTGTGGGAGCTGCCAAGAAACTTGACTAAAGAGAATGGGATTTGGGGACTGGATGGGGAAGGTATAAGGTAAGAGCAACCTCTTAGCTGCATGAGAAAGGCCGGAGCCGCCTGCCGTCCACACAGCATCCAAACGTCATCGGAAAGTTTTTCGGCGCCAGTCTTGGCCAGGCAGCTTTGCGCACATAGGGGAAGAGTAAAAAGGATCCGATGCTTGGATTATTAGGTGATTGTTCCGAAGGAAACAAATGGAACTTGAAGTCCAACAAAGCGAGGGTACTAGGAAACCACCTGACACCGGAAACTGGCAAGGCAAGAAGCTGAAGCCAGGATCAAAGACAGAGAGAGGCACATGACCTGTGAGGAGTCTAGGCCTATGCAGGCCCAAGAAACAACGAGATGCTGTCATGATAAACACTTGTTGATCGACAATTTAAACCCTTAGAACTAGTGTACCTGTCATGCCTGCCAATGCCATGGATTTTCCTTATCACTCGGCGGCTCATGCTGAGCAAATGGTCTAGCTTATCGTGTTTATCTGATTCATCGAGAAGACTGGACCACACCTCATCTCTTGCCCGTTTGGGTTTCATACTGTCCACATGTTGTCGGCCGGGCAAAGGCCATGGCATTCCGGGCATCATGTCATCATCCGCATCGACCGTTGTCCGGTAGAGGCAAAGGCAGAGATAGCCTGGTATCATATGGAACTTCCTTCAGGCTGAACCATAATGAACCTTGGACCGCTGGCTGACCGCTCTGTGAGATTAGAAAGCCGTGCAACCACCACGATCCAACTCTTTTGTCCCGTCTGCCCGCTGCGGTCGTACAAGTACAAATATCCTCGACTGAAAGGCATCGTGATTCGGGTGGTTATCTATTGCTTATCATTCCCCGCATCGTCTGTTCCTGTTGTTCCATTACAGCTCGCATTGCACAGACGACACTAGACTGTCTTTGCTGCCAACAAGATGGGCTTTACCCCCTCAGCTCGCCATGCTCATCTGAGCAATCTTGCCTCGGTGTTCCAAGTCATGGATCGCCCGCCCGTAACCTGGATTCATGGACCTCGTGGCCCTCCTTAGCTGCACCTTTATCTAGATACCAAGACCCAGTCATACCGGGACTGCTACTTCAGGTACCGGTATCCAATTGCCCGGGGTACATAGGGCGATAGTGGGCAGCCTCAAGACTGGGGAACATGATCCCGTCTGGGTCCTGGGCCTTGCTTCCGTTGCCAATGTCATTTTCCCCACGATATGCTAGTCGTCGATGAGGCCAATTGGACGGATAACCGTTTCCCCGTGAATGCCGGAAAAAAAAGAAAAGAAAGAAAGAAGAAGAGAGAAAAAAAAAAGAGAAAAGCTTGCATGTGCTTGCTTAGTTGTTTGCTTGTCGTCCTCGAAAAAGGAGATGGGCCACCACACGTCGTCGACGAGCAGGACCAGCCGACCAGGGCATGGTGCAGAGTGGAACCCGGTGTCGGGGACGGGGACGGGACCCCGGGTGTGGACTCGCGGTGGACTGCATTTCTGGCTCCATCAACCCCGTAAAATCGCAAATTCTTGTCCCTGTCCTCCGTCTGGTGTCCGCCTGCCCTGGAGCCGCTGAGAATGAGCGAGCGGGACCACTGACACCTTGAAGACCCAGACAACGGGAGCCAGAGAGAAAACGAGAGGAAGCCATGACCAGCAGAGGGCACCATGCCCGGACCATTGCGCGCACCTCGCGGGCTTCCTAGAACTTGGATGGTTCACCCAGTGGATAGCTGCTCGCCATGCGATTGGCCAGAATCGTTTTCTATTTGCTTCCCTTTGTTTGGTGCTTGTTGAGCCCTTCGCTCTCATCCTCTATGGTACTTAGTAGCAGCCAGGGGACCTCCTTGCTATTAAACCGCAGTCCGTCCATACGCTCGCGCTTCTCTCGTTCTTGTTTCGATTTCAATCCCTCTTGCCCGCTGCTGTCAACATCCTGCTGCTGGGTACTTCCGAGATCTGAGTTTTTTTTTTTTTTTTTTTCGCTTTGTTGGTCGGCCTTTCCCGAGTTCCCTATCTTATCGGCTGCCCATAGGTATCTGTAAGATCTCGCCCACAGGCATCTTTTGTCGATTTGATCTTCGAATTCCGGGTCCCCGCCCCTGAGTTGGCAACGCAGCAGACGACATCGTTTTCAGACACTACAACACAGGTACGAGGAACTTGTACATAAAAATAAATGTACTTACATTATCTTGCTTGCTGCCGTCCAGTTGGCTCTCACTGAGCCCTCACCTCCCCTGCCCTGTCGCCTTTCCCAATTCCCCGTTCTGCCCGGCCGCCTGCGGTTTCTCACCCACCCGACCTACCACTATCCGTCCAATTGCCCCCGCAGTGACAACCAGCACTCAGTGCAGCACGCAGTACCTACAGCACGCAGTACATCTCTAACACCGCCGCCATTGGAACCCCGCTGATAGATAAACGACGGGGCAAGAAAGAAAAGAGAATACGCCATCGACGCAGCAGCACGATACCGCCATTCCATCCGCGGTACACGGGGCCACGGTTCCGCCAGCAAGCACATCAGCAGACCAAGAGCAACCCAATCGAACCGCTGCCCTGCACTTTCTGGGCAGTTTCCTGTCCTCGGTCGCATTTTACTCACCGGTATCGCCTGCGCCGCCCTTGCGCTTCCAGAACCACGATCGCCCGGTCTCGTGCTTGGCTCAACCTTTTTTTTTTTTTTTTTTTTTTCTAACGGCCCATCATCATCACCCTCCCCTGCTGCTCTGCTTCCGAGAACTTAAAGGGTCGCAACGGGAACCTACAGTGGTGGTCGCAACAGGAAATTCATTAAGCGCACTAAGCAACAGGCAAGAGCGTCTTTGCGCCCACCCACACCTGTTCGGAAAGGACTCCTGTTTTCTGGGGAGACACAGCATCTCTAGCCGGGCTCTCTTCCTCGTAGAAAAAGTTTGAGACAGTCAGGGAATCTTTGGGAGGACGGTGACACCCGTCCATCACACTAGCCCACCATGCCGGCCGAAATTCTATCAGAGCTACCATTGAGGCCAGCACCGAGAGACATCAAAATCCCCAACGCCATGCACAATGAAGAGAGGCGGCACAAACACTCTCGCTCCTCCTACTCAGAGATGTCCCCTCTCATGTCGCGAAACAACTCTCTGACTTGGCGTCCTGCCAAACGCCCCATGCCGACCCCCGATAAGACGATTGCGGTCATCAACGCCGCCGGCCGACAGGCTGCTTCTTTCATCAGAGTAGCCACTGCCGTTGGCTTCCACGTACGAGCCCAAATGAGGAATCTCGAGGGTGTTGTGGCCACCGAAGTGTCGACGAATCCCAACGTTACCGTTCTGCAGGGTGAGCTTTACACCAAAGAGACCCCTGCGGAAAGTGATAAGGGACAATGTGTCGACGTCACCAAGAATGGACCCATCTCCGGCATCGGCGTGAACGACGCCCTCATCTCCGAACTCTTCAGAGGCGCTCAGCTTGCCTTTATCAACACCACCTTCTATGGCGACGAGGAAAGGATTGGCATGGCCCTGGCTGACGCTGCTAAGAAGGCCGGAGTCCAACATTACGTCTACTCCTCGATGCCCGACCACCATGCCTACAACAAGGACTGGCCATCACTACCGCTCTGGGCGTCGAAGCACCGTGTGGAGGATTATGTGAAGGAGATTGGTATTCCGGCAACCTTTGTCTACACCGGCATCTATAACAATAACTTCACCTCGCTGCCATACCCCCTCTTTTGCACCGATTTGCAGCCGGACGGATCGTGGATCTGGCAAGCACCCTTCCATCCAAACGCCAAGCTCCCGTGGCTTGATGCTGAGCACGACGTTGGCCCGGCTATTCTGCAGATTTTCAAGGACGGCGTCAAGAAGTGGGGTGGAGGCAAGCGCATCGCACTAGCATACGAGATGCTCACACCTCTAGAAGCGTGCGAGGTCTTTTCCCGGGGTGTCGGCCGACCGGTACGGTACGTCCGCGGACCGATCGAGGTCAAGGTCAAGATTCCCGAGGGCTATCGAATCCAGCTGGAGGCGCTCGAGGAGCTCTTTAACCTGCACAACGAGAATCCCGAGAAACAACCACCATACTTTGGCGACATTGAGCTTGAAAGAAGCTGCCCTCGGGCGGCTCTGGAGCTGTGGGAAGGTCCAAGAGGACTGGAGGAGTACGCCCGCGAAGTGTTCCCGCTAGAGGAGCAAGCCAACGGCCTCACATGGATGATCGAGGAGTATGACGGAGGCGGCAGCAATAATATCGGTAATAATCATAATAATCACCACCAACAGGAGGAGCATTACCAGCACCAAAACGGACATCAAAACGGTCACAATGGGATCAATGGGCATATCGTAAATGGTGGAGTTGATTCCGAGAGCGAGGAGGAAGACTCCGATTCGGATGACGAGGGATTGGTGATGCGAGGGAACAAGCGGGCTGATGAGGAATGGCTCGCGTAGCAATCATCCATCCACATCCACGCAATCGACTGTTGGTAAGAAGGGGAGCATGACAGAGCATCAAGGGGAGCAAATGGAGACAACAATACCCATCTTCTTACTGTTATCAAAATTTTCTTCCTTTTTTTTTCGGGGGTGAAAAGGCAAAAAGAGAGATCTCAAAAGCTGGAGTCGGCACCGGGGACTTGTTCATTGGGGTCTGTGATATCATCTTTTTTTTTTCCTCAATTTAAGGATCATCGGAAAGGAATGTTATGTCACCACACACATACGCGCAAAAGACATGGTAAAATGGGTGTGGTTATCGCATTGTGTAAGCGGCGTGTGGCGCGCAAGGGACATCGTCATGGAGGTTAATCCAGGGGCCATGTCAGGTTCAAGGTCAATGGCGTATCAAAGAGTGAGGGAATGGAACAAACGAGCTGTCTATCTGTTGAGACGGCTTTGGTTGGAATTACTACGACGATAGTGTACACTACAAAGGTCTGCATATGTCCGTCCTTACGGTCGTCATACTTTATACGTATCCGACTGTCGGTTGGCGGGAACTATCTACCTCAATACACACACTTTGATTGATGTTTGAGAGGATAGAACTGGACCTCGCCTATATCATTGCAGCACAACCACTCATGATCTTGCTCTGTGCTTGAAGTCTGGATCTCTTGCTACCCGGCCGCAGCTTCGGACATTTAGTGATCGATTACCTTGGGCCATATAAACCCGCCGGTCAGACATTGCAACAATTTCCGGTAGCAGAAGTGGTAGGCACGTGGAAACCAGAACATCGTGGGTTTCGTAGGCGGCAGTTTGACTGAACGGGTTTGACCCTCGTCATGGGCCGTTGAACCTTTCCCTTTTCCTTTCCTTCTTTTCTTTTTTTTCTTTTTTTTTTTTCTTTCCTCCCTTCTCCAATGTCTTTGTCTTTTCCTTTTGCTTCTTGAAGACATTGCAAAAGCTGGGTTCTATCTTTTCTCTAGCGACTGACGCTACTACTGGGTTAATTAATTCATTTCGGTCTTGTGACCGAGTTTGTGTAGTGTTCATGGAGTGAGATGTGGTGCGACCTGCGTTCCGTTGTCGCGATTCCCTCCTCTCGCTGCGACTGACGACGACTGCACCAGTCGTCGCGGGAATTACCGCACGATCACAGTTTAGCGGTGGAATATGATGGGGATGGGAAATTTCTTACACACGCCGTTGCTCTAAACATTGTCATATGTTTGTGGTAGGAGTATTATATGAGGATAAATCACATTGAATCGCGAAGAGCAGGCGAGGAGTAAGTAAGCGGTGACGATTTGCAAGTCGTGGATCAACCTTTGATGTTCTGAGATCAAATCAAATCAACTCATTATTTAACGCCGAACGAGAATGTAAAACCCTATGTGTGTGAAACCTCTATAACCCAGAATGCGATGTGGTATGGTATCCCTTCAGTTTTTTTGCTGGTAACCCTTCTTCCTTCTTCCTTTCCTTCTGTCCGCTTTTTTATGCTTTCCGCTCTAACCCGAGATCTCCATCCGTCTCGGCCGATACAACGGTCGCCCCAGCAGATAGGAATGTTGTTTAGGTTGACAGTGCGCATATCAGCCGAACCAACGGAGAACATCCTGCTATCGTCCCTCCCCGCAGCCACTCTAGGCTAGCTATTGTAAATGCTGACTGACCATCAATGGCCTGGATTTGACAGATGGTATGTGCCAGAGACGCTGCTTTCCCTCACGTATTGGTAAGTACTATACGGCGTCGTGTGGGTGCCGTGATTAGTTTCCCTCTTGACGCTTGTAGTCCCGCACTTGAACACACTGTTGGTACATGACAAAGCGTTGTGGTGGCAGCTGCGCAGTATTGATGCCTACCCCTAGTCGATCAACCACCACTTTACGAGGCAGGAGCACCAGGGAGTCTCTCAATGGCGTACTTGCCCTTGCCGCAAGACATGATGGGCACACCAGGAACCTTGCGGATTCTCCTCTTCAAGTCTCTATCGTTGGCTGTGTATTCCAGAGTTAGCATACATACTTATATACATACACACGCTCGACAAGTGGTGGGACCGGGTAAGTGGAGAAAAGCAGAAAGAGAAGGAACACAAACTAGCAACGATGTATATCCTGTGCTTCTGGATACGCTCGACAATGCAGTCATCGGCGTACGTTCCCTTGTGGTCGCAAGTGAGACGGGTCCACCGCTCGTCACGGGCAATCATCAGCGCAACGCGGTACTTGGGACCGAGCTTCTCCAACTCGGCCATGACGCATGATGTGATGATGATGTTGACCGAGGCAAAGAGGCAGTCCATGGCGGACTCCATGAGGGGGAGCTTGGCGCCGACGGTTCGGGAGAGGAAGTTGGTATCGACGAGGACGTTGTAGGGAGGCACAAGGGCCTCGTTGTGCTGGAAGAACATGGACGAAGGCATCTGGGGGATCTCTCGGACGGCGGCCTCCTTCTTCTTTTGCAACTCCAACTCTTGCTTCTTCTGGACCTCGGTCTTGCGGCGCTCATCGTTCTTGCCGATCATGCGCTTTACCTATTGAGTGTGTTAGTAAGTATGTTTTGATGACAATATGTCTCATACATTGTCATTTTCATCATACACACACACATATTGGCCATCACCCCAAGGGGGTTGAGGTCAATGGTGGTGAGTATGAAAAGTGAGATGAGAAGGGGGATTAAAGAAGTCACGTGCCGTTGCGAATTTTCTTGTCCGTTTAGCAACACCCATCTTGACGAGATCTCAACGATTGATCGAAGTGGAAAAGTTCTGTTGTGAAGTAGGGGTATCGACCGCTGTTGTGCTAGATTTGGCAGTCAAGATAAATTGGCGGTTCGTCGGAAATTCGGGCGGCCGCAAAGTCGTGATAGTTGATTTGGTGGTGAAGGCGATTGATGGTTTCGTATAAAATTTTGGACCACACTGAGAGAGCAACCGTCCGACAGGTAGAGGTACACTTGCAGTGTGATTCGGTGGTTTGCCAAGCAGCCAGCTTCGAGCTACAGACAAGTGGCAACCGAGCCTGAGCACCGCAAAACAGGAAAAGCACAGGCCATATCAGCAGCTGGCCACAGATGGCAGCTTGGGTAGCGGGAAGCTACTCTCCCACTGCAGTGCTCCGGTGTGCTGGTCAGCAGGGCGCTAAAATTGTACATAATATTGGGCTTCAGGCGTTGAGGTCACTGCAGCCGCCGCTGGAGGGACCGACTGGACAGATGAGCACTGTGCAGATAGCGACCAAGCACACGGCGCGACTGCTGCATGTTTTGACCCAAGAAAGGAAGGGCCGGACGTCATGTCGTCAACCGTGCAGCTGTGAAACATTGAGCCTCAAGTGGAAGCAGCAGAGACATGTTTACTTTTTTTTTTTTTTTCAAGGATTAGTGTACGATTTTGTTCAGATGAGGGGGAACTCGGATCGGCCTTTCAGTCAGAGGGCAAAACCAGGGTTTGAAATAGTAGTGTCTTCACTTGTTTGTCTTACCAAAACCCTTCTTGCAGGCGCTACTTACACACTGACTTGAATGACGTGCTGCAAGGGCCGTTTCTGCAGCCAGCATTTTATACGATGGCATGCCTGGCTCTTCGCCCTCGAAGGATGCCATGCCCAGACATTATCCTTGTGTGTCGAATCATGTCCCAGCATACCGTCCGTGCAAGTATTTACCAAAGCCCAACCGTTTTTCACGACGGACGGATTACCAGAGTGTACTAAGCTGAGTACTATGGTAAGGGCTGAGAGTTGACGTTACGTTGCCCTGAGCTGAGGACGCCGCGGCGCAAATGTTTCCCAGAATCACGACTGCCCTGGCAGGAAGTGGCTGAGTGTGTGTGTGAGTGGTCACCTGAGTGGTTCCCTTGGGTCAGGTTAGTCTGGGGGAGCAGCGCCGAACTAAGGAATGGAGAAATCGGGGACCAACACAAAGGCGGGCAAGACCTAAGGGGTCCCAGTCAATTGGTCCCCGTGGGCGCCTTCCAACTTCTTCCCTCTCCTTTTCCCTGCCACCACTCACGGCATTCAACCTTTCACTCTCTCTAGACCCCGTCGACTCCATCCATGCATCTCTTGGTCAATCTCCCCTCAAAGACGACCATGACCTGATTTGGTCAAGTTTGCAACACTCGTTGACATTGAATCTCATTCATCCAACTCAGACCAGACTCTGATGCTCTCAGCAAGTGCCTGATTCTACTGTCGTTTTTTTTTTCTCAAGATTTATCACGGCACGACGCTCTTGAGTAACCACCAGTTCCCGATTTTCGGCCACTCACCACCCTCACATCGATAGCTCCAGATCGTGGCTGCAGCCCGTCGTCGATCTAGCTTACTCTACATCATACCTTGGTGGATATAGGGACCAATTCCCGTTTCTCGGTCCTCTTGGTCAAACCCCTTCTTTGGACGTCCCCGAACCCGACGGGACATAGCCATAGCGACCACCATGTTGTCGCCATCACTGTCGCTGAAGCGCTCCTTGCTTCTTTCAGCCCTCTTTACCTCTTCCCTGCTATCGACTGGTGTATTGGCGCAACAACCATCGTCGTCGACATCTATCTCTCCTAGCTCGGCTAGCACATCAAAAGTGACCATCACTCCTACGGCATCCGAAACCTCGCCTACTTCGACCGGAACTGAGAGTGTCCCCCCATTGACGATTGGGAACACAGATGCAGCGACGGGACCACCTACACTCCTAACCGGTCTTCCAACTCTCACCAAAATTGGCATCCCGGATTATCCCGCGCCGACCGTTCCTCCTACACAAAATGCGCCCTTCATGAAGCACTCGTCGCTCCCCGACGGCACCGTCTTCATCTGCGTCGGCGCCATCCTCGGCGCCTTTGGTCTGGCTATTGTCATCTGGCGAACCGTCATCGCCTGTCTCCTCCACCGTTCCGTCGAGCGCGCTGCTATGGCCCAGAACCTCGGCGACGACAAGGGCTTCCCGTCCCCGCCCAAGTTCTATAAGTATTCAGATCTCAACTCGAACCCCTCGCTCGTCGGCGGTAGCAACACCGGCCTCGCCAGCAACCGCAAGTCGCGCGGCCCGGCGCCCGCCGCCGGTACCCCCAGCCAGAGCCAGCTGTTCTTCTCGCCGACTGCGCAACCGGGAGACCGCAACAGCACCATGGCCAACAACCGCCACTCGACCTTCCTCCCCTCCGGATTCTACGCTTCTTCGGCCGCTGCTCCTATGGGTCACAATCACGGTAACTCGATCAGCATGTCGAACCTCCGCCCCATGTCAAGACGGCCTAGTGGTGGTAGCATGATGGGACAGACGCCGCCCGAGTCGCCGAATGTTGGACCGGTAATGGGTACGACGACGAGGACATCACCGCCCAGAGGTTTTAGCAGTAGCTCGGTCAACCAGTTGAACAGGCCAGAGAGTGGGCGCGCACCGAGCGCGTTCTTGGATGATTTGCTGGGCGATAACCCGCAGGCGTTCCCTCCTCCGGGGGGATACAATAACCCGGGCTATCACGGGGGTCATCATGATCCTAGGCACAGTGGGAGGTATTAAGTTGGTTGGGAATTCGGAACAACCAGAAGACTATGGGAAGCAATCACGTTGGAGAACTCCAGGGACATCGCGTCAAAACAGCTCCGAACCCGATATCGCGCGGTGACAGCGCTGTGCACCTAATACAAAACTAAAATTTCCTTCAACACTTGGGGAGGCATTCAATTGATCAGAGGAGTTCATTGGTTCGGGTCTTGTTATAGTTTGGGGTTTGAAAGTACTAATCATTATCATCATTATCATTATCATGACCGTCGCCATCACCATCACCACCATCACTACTTACCTTAACTTACCTCTTTTATTCACTTCGGCCAAAGTGCATATGTATCGTCGAATACCACTTTTTGTTCATGGTGATTTTCGCGAACGTTTTCTTTCGGATTGAGGGATTCTAACAGCGTTTTACTGTTGTCTGTACATGTGGCTTCCTGTCTGTTAATTCGTCGTGCATTGCATAAGTCAGCACTGCAGTAGCATAGGTAGGCATAGCGATAATGACTTGCATACCGTAGAAACTCGCGAAACTGGCAACCGTCAATCTCCTCTTTGAACGCCGGGCAGGGCATAACGCGGCGCCCCGTAAGCCAGCATATGCCAACAGATGTATCTGTCCAGTTAGTGAACACTCGAAAACATTGCCCTCCACTGTAACTTGCGTGCGTTTCAATACACATAATCGTGCTTGCCCTGCACAGACCTGCCCCCTGCCCGGCGCTATAAGAGGTAATTGACGGTTGCCAGTTTCGCGAGTTTCTACGGTATCTTGGGATTGCTGGAAATACCTATTAGGTAGTTGAGATAATATCACGTCTCCTGCATTTCGTTCTTGCCTGCCTGCCTGCTGCTGCCTTGATGTGGTCCTCCACTTGGCCACACTACTACCATAATTGCTCCTTCTGCTCCGTCGATTCGACCCACGTATCATGATCTCTGTCACTGAACAGTGTACGTTTCGTTTTGTTTCATTCCAGTCCCATCTGTTCTTCCTCTGTTTGTGTCTTTGATTTGTCTTTGGTTTGTCTTTGATCACCTACCACCAGAAAAATGCAAGACACTGCAAGATTATGCAGCTCTCCGGCCCACCTACCGACTGATTCGTTTTTACATACATGTATCTCAAGTTAGGCGTCCCCCCCCCCTTCCATGGGTCTTTTTCCTGTTTGCTGTTTGCATACCTTTTTTTTTTTTTTTTTTTTTTTTTTTTTTTTTTTTATTTTTTTTTTTACAAATATACATGCAGGAGATATATATATGCCAGTCAAATTGGGGACTGGCATGATCAAAGAAAAAGAAAAAAAAAATGCTGAGTTTGAGCTTACGACATGACCGAGGCTGAAAGGATGACTTGACTTGCTGAAATCACAATACCAGAGGTTGTGTGAGTCTGGCTGCTTCGTTCTCTGCATAGGCAGTGTAGATGGGTTGTGACACCAAGAGACCACCAAGAGTGCGTCCCAGCCAACTAAAAGTTTGTCGAGTTTAGGTACTGCAGGTAGGTCTCTCGAAGTCTAGGCACTAGAGTTTCACAACTTGACTTTGTGAGACTTGAGGATGGATGGGTAGAGTGTCATTATGTGCATCATGTGTTACGTTGGTCTTTACTTGCGGTGCGGCAAGCAAGACATCAAGAGGAGGTTGGATTTACTAGGTATGCAAAGCAATTTACAAGGGAATGAAAAAGGGAGTAGTGCTGTATCTGTATGTGCTTTGACTAGAATTTTTTAAACAAAGAGATCTATATAGATCCTTATAGGTACCTAAAGCATGTAAAATGGAACATTCTCGAAATCCCGAGATCCCCTTCTTGCTACAATAAGTAATTACGTGTTTAGACTATGTATGTACTTTTTTTTTCTTCTAAAGGGCATTTGCTTTTAGTATCGCTTTGCCTTTCTTCATTCCATTCCTCCCCATCCGTCCCCGTCTTCTCTTCGAGTTTTGGTATCATAAACCGCCATCAATCAGAACCAACCATCATCTCATCTGTCATACTCATCATCTCTCATCTTATCCACCCTACAGAATGACCCCCCATCTTGTCTTTGTAACCAACCACCCCTTTTACCTGCACACACTTTACAGAGCTCGATCGTTATCCACAATTTCCCTCGCCAACCTGATATCCTCTGCTCTAATCCCACTCCTCTCACACATTCCCCTAAAGATACCTCCCTCCATCTCAAACAGCTCCATGGGCGTGCCAATCTCCGCAATGCGTCCTTTATCCATCACGCAAATCCGGTCGTAGTTGATGATAGTCCTCAACCGATGCGCGATGCACAGCAGCGTCTTGCCGCGGAACGCGCTGGCCATGGTGCGCTGAATCTTGTCGTCCGTCTCCATGTCAACGCTAGAAGTGGCCTCGTCGCAGACGATGATTTGGGATCCGCGCACGAGGGCGCGGGCGAGGGCCATGAGCTGGCGCTGGCCGAGGGAGAAGTTGAGACCGTCTTCTTCGACGATCGAGTCGAGACTGATGCGGTTGTTGGAGTTACCGTTGGAAGCAGCGGGAGCTTCGGCGACGACGAGGGCGTTGCCGCTGGCGCTGGGGGTGGCGGTTGTGGTGGTGGCCTGATCATCTTGGACGAGATCGGCTTGGCGTAGGGCGGACCAAAGCTCCAAGTCGGTATGCTCACCGAAGGGATCGAGGTTGCTGCGCACGGTGCCGCGGAAGAGGGTCGGGTCTTGAGGGATGATGGCCAAGCGGGAACGGAGGTCTTGGAGACCAATCGTGGAAATATCGATGCCATCGATGGTGATATGACCGCCGGAAATCTCAACCAGACGGAAGAGCGTAGACATAATAGAACTCTTTCCTGCGCCAGTCCGGCCGACGATACCAATACGCTCGCCGCCCTGGATGTGCACATTAAGACCCTGAAGGACAAGAGGAAGACCGGCACGATAACGCATCTCGACGTTGTCAAAAATGATCTCACCCTTCTCGGGCCAGCTGGGGCGGACATCGATGGTCTTGGATGGGGCCTCCTCCTCAAGCTGGGTTCCGTAGTACAAGAGACGCTCGACGGCGTTCATGCCGTTCTCGACTTCAGCCAGCTGACGGACAGTGAACTGGATCATCTGCACTATAGCCAAGATATAGGACAACACCAAGCCGGCAATCGAGGGATTGACTGAGAAACGGGAGGTGACGACGAGAATACCCGTGGTGAAGACCAAGGCGTTACCGATCATATCCAGTCTGGTCGATAGCCATCTCTGATTCGAATAAGTCAGGAAGTACGCCGAGTCCATGTCGTCGATTGCCTTCCTCATGTCCTCCACAAACCGGTTCTGGAGGCCATAGGCTCTGATGGAGGCAACACCAGACAAGCCTTCGTTGAACTTGGCAAACACCGTAGAACGAAGGACGGCCTCAAAGCGTTTGACCTCGCGGGCCGATGAGCGGTAGTAGCCAGTAGCAAAGAGGAACAAGGTGAAGAGAGGTACGAGCGCGATGGCAAAGTAGTAGAAGTATGCAATAATCAGAGCAAACGTCGAGATGATAGCTCCAATGCTGAAGAAGTACATGCGCAAAGCATCCGTAAGGTTGTTGTCCATGACATCCACATCACGGCTGAAACGATTGGTGATGCGACCGAGAGGTGTAGTATCGAAGAAAGACATGGGGGCGCGCAACACGCGGAAGGTGGCCTGCCTCAACATGTTCTTACTCGCCGTAGTACCGAACATCGATAGAGATACCATGAATGCGAACATGAGGAGAGCTTGCATCGCGCCGAGACCAGCGTAGGCACCAATGTATTGCCCCAAACTCAGGCCAAACTTGTCAGAAGTCCACCACGAAAGCCACAAGCTAGTCATGATGTTGGATCCCTGTGAAATAACCAGGAGCACGAGAACAATGGGGGCGTTGAGATAGCTGCCGGAGGCCTTGACGTAGGACGTATAAACCGACCATGGGACGCTAGCCACAGCACGCTCCTCAGCCTGCATGAGACCCTTGGCCTTCTTTTTCTTCTTGGGCGCTTCTTCCTCGCTGGTTGCGGCAGGAGCTTCGGCTTCATCCTTCTTTTCTTCTTGGGCAGTCGATTCTAAGAGCTGTCTGAACTCCTCGGAATCCCTCATAAGGTTGTCGAAGGTATCCACAGCCTGAATACGACCACCGTCCATCCAAATGATGCGGTCGCAGCGGTTGAGGACCCAAAGTTGATGAGTTGCCAAAATACGGGCCTTGTCTTTGAGCAAACCAAGAATAGCGTTGTCGAAGATATGGCGACCCACGTGGGCATCGACGGCACTCAGGGGGTCGTCCATGAGAACGATATCGGCATCAAAGTAAATCGCACGGGCAATGTTGAGTCTCTGCTTTTGACCACCAGAGATGGTGATACCTCTTTCACCAATCTCGGTCAAGTCGTTGTTGGGAAGCATATCCAAATCCGGCTGCAACGCGCAAGCCTTAATAACATCGCGGTACCATTCAGGGTCCATCTCCTTTCCAAAAAGAATGTTGTCCTTGAGAGTCGCGTTCTGAATCCAGGCGTACTGAGGGCAGAAAGCTCTTTGGGCGCCAAGAACAACCTCGCCGCTGGTCTTGCGCATATCGCCAGCCAAGGCAGACAGCAGTGAGGTTTTTCCACTGCCGACGGAACCGATAACGGCAACCAACTCGTTCCTGCCAATGGTGAAATTGAGATCCTGAAGCTTAAACGGTTCCTGTTCTTCAACCAAGGTACTCGAGTCGTCACCGGAAGGAGGAGTAGCCGCCTCGACATCCTTGGGCTTTCCCTTGGCACCCTTTTCAGGCTTCGATTTCGGACCGGCCCCACCCACTGTAGATTCGTTCTCTTGAGTTGGCGTTCTTTCCCAGGTGAAGGAGGCGTCGTGGACTTCGATAGCATTAGGAGCATCGGGCTTGATGATAGCTTCATCCTCACGTTCCTCCGAAAGCAAAAAGTCCTGGATACGGGAGA